TTATAAAAAAAAATTATTTGGAAGTCCAGTATATAACAAATTGCTCTGGAGCTAAGAACAGCAAAGTCTAAAAACTCCTGAATTAGAGAATCTCCAAGAAGCAGGCCTCTGGGCCTTCCTATGGCTGTCCTGTGCTGTATTGATCAGGCATCTCCAAATCTCTGCCTTCTTTACGAGGTGATTTGGAGTAAGAGTTCTCTGAGAGCTATAAGAAGATGCTCTGGAGTTGATTATTGATCATTCCCAGATACCAAGTGATATATTCACGTCTACATTCTGTCACAAAATTGCATATATTTTTCTTTTGGTTTTATGTGGAAGCATTGCAGGTAATGGAAAACATTTATCATACATGCCAATTCTAGTTGGCATTCTGATCATGATCTGGTTTCTGTGTCTGTATTGTATTTGGCTTCTCTCGGAAAAAAATGTTGTGATCATTTTTTTGTAAGCATATAGAGGAGGATACAGGCACTTACACTATTATTTTTTATTCCTCTTAAAAGCAAAATTTTGCTCTCAGTGTGGCCAGTAGAGTTTAACTACAATTCACACCCCCCAACTTCTACTTTTGCACACAGAGATTCAATGCCTGTGGGGAAAGTTAAATGTCACAGTTGAATTTCTCTTCTTTGGTATCTAAGGAATTGTGTTCTGCTCAAATTAACAGAACAACTAAAAAAAAAAGGAAAAAAATTTTTGCACAAAATAATATAGGAAACTTCCTTAACCTGAAAAGAATGACTCCTAAAGTCAGGAATCAAGAATAAGGTAGAGATGTCTGATCTCGATATTTCTATTCGTTTGGAGTAGACATTCTTGCTACTTTGGGTAAAGTAAGAAAATTTCTTGACAAAGGACTTTTATTTGGAGTATATGAAGAACTCTTAAACTCTATAATAAGAAGACAACAAAATTAAAAAAAAAACTTTTTTTGTCCATTGGAAAAATCTTGATTAGAAATAAACTACATAATAATTAATAAATTGGGCAACAACATAAAAAGATAATAAAAAGTAAAAATTAGTAAATGATCATTTGTTCATATCATGACTTTCCATAGTCTTTATTTTTTCTCTTTTCACATTTTTATTGATGCATTATAATTGTACATTTTGATGAGATTTGTTGTTACATGTTCATACATGCACACAATATAACAATATAATTTGGCCAAAATCATAACTCACCAGCACTTTCCCCCTCCCTCCCCAATTCCCATCTTTGAATCCCTTTCCTCTCCTGATGTCTCTTTGATTTTTAGGAGATCTACCCTCACCTTTGTCTTCCTTTTTCCTCTTTAGCTTCACATATGAGAGAAAACATTTGGCCCTTGAGTTTGACTTATTTCTCTTAACACGATGGTCTCTAGTTCCACCTATTTTCTTGGAAATGCCATGATTTTATTTTTCTTTATGAGTGAATAAAACTCCTTTTTTTGTATATACTTACTGCATACTGTTTTCCATAGTGTAGCTGTTATTATGTTCTCTTAACAAATCGTTTTAACAGACACTTCATCAAAGAAGATATATAGATGGCAAACAAGTATATGAAAATGTGTTCATTACCATTACTTTTATGAAAATGTAAATGCAAAATACCGATGAAGACATGGAACAAGTGGAATTCTGGTACACTGGTGGTGGAAATGTAAAATGGTATAACTTTTAGAAGACAGTTTGGAAGTTTCTTGCAAAATTAATTTGCATGCCTAATATGTGACTCAACCATTTCACCCACTGATAGGTCCTTTTTATCATTCCTAATCTATGATATATAAACCACATCCAAAAAAACCAGAGGTAGTCCTAAACCCTGATACTTAAATCTTGACAATAAAAGAAACTGTGCATTGCTTCTAGGAAAAGGTGGGGAGGCAACATAATTTTATATATATATATA